TAACCATTGCTGGAACGAGACTGTTTATTACTACCACGGTAGAACCTTAAAAGAAACTCAGCAACAGTCTACCTTGCCAGCCACTGCTGAAAATCATCACTGAGTGGTCCGGTGATGTCAGCAGTACAAAGACAATAAATAGAGAAAAGCAAGTAAAAACTGGCTTGATGCATCAATGTAAGCGATATCTGTCCGCCGCAGGGCTATTTTCCCTATGATAAGACCCCTCGTCAGTTGATAACGCTTTTATGTGTAGTCTGTGATAAAAATAAGCATGTTCTGTTCGGAAAATTAGCTCCCGATCGACATCGAAGATTACATCGAGAGCAGCATCCTTGCATGAACAAGGGCCGCCTCTGCTCTAGTTTCCGGAAAATCTCTACAATTGGACGCTTACCGCTTTTTAGACATCCTTCGACCTCCCCAGGAGACGAAATGCGGTCACTAACAACAGACCCCGAGGTACCCTACTGGACGGCAAAATTCCGTTCATAGTACCATTCGTCTCTGATGAGGTTAGCACTTCCATAAGGAAGTGCTTGAGGAGGTCGGGTCTGGAAAATCTAATTGCCATTATAGATGTACCCCCCTACAACCTAAAGCATCGACTGGTTCGCAATCGGCTCTACGATCGCTCATGTACCACCCCTAACTGTGTGGTCTGCCCAACCGGCCAGGAAGGCGACTGTACAATCGCAGGGGTGGTCTACAAGATCACATGTTGCAGTTGTGGAGAGGTATATATTGGCGAAACATCAAGACCGCTATGCGTACGCATCAAGGAGCACTTAGAGGGCAAGGCCAGGTCTCGCATGTCAACTGCCTTGGGCGCCCATAGGGTGGAAAATCATCATGGAGCCGACTTCGAGGTCACGGCCGAGGTCTTGGCACGAGAATCGCAAACACCCGCACGAAAAACCCTCGAGGCATTCTGGATTCAGGTCTCTAGACCAAAAATGAACCGGAAAGAAGAGTGTATCACAATCACGCGGGAGCTGAGGCCGTATATAAGGTTAGCCTTCCACCAGGGAGTCTGAATCATATCCAGTCCGAAGAGCTTGCTGGACCGCTGCTGGTTTCTGGGTGGTCGCGAGGATCGGTCGGATCAACGGTAAGTGGCCCAACTTACAGTTGCGTGATGTTCTCTGAGGTCTCGAATTTCTGTAATGTAGTTGATACGTTTGATCGGGTAATCATAAATTGCTTCGATCGTTCCAGGCTCTGAAGAAGGCGATCTACGCCGAAACGTTAGCCGGAATAAATTTTTTATCAACCTCGTCCAAGTTCAAGCAAAGAAAACAACGATATCGAGTTATTGTATGTATAATAAAAAGAATGTTTAACGATTACTGGTATACAGTGAAGGTCAAAAGCGTTCACAGAAACGGCTTTTCGAGCACTGCCTTTTCTTCACTCGACTAATTGTATGTCTTTTCTAGTTTTCACGATATACCATTCAATGTTACAAACAAAATACGCAAGTTATATCCTCATGCGAGCTGTTTGCGTTGGATGAAATGCACAGTTTTTGGGAAAGCATGAAAACTATAGATTTTAAAGGTAGCGATTACAATCGGAAAATGGAAGGCTGTTTCTCAAACTTCCCACATATCTATTTCACCTGGTTCAAATGTGGAGGTTTCCTGTCGGTATGTGGCCCGATGCGCTAGTCTTTGCAAAATCCACTCATCTCATTATTTGGCTCGCCCAGGACTAGACTGTCGTGTTGATCATGTCCTGGCAACTAGAAATTGTTATTCCCTTGTCGAATATGCATATGGGATCTTTCGTGAGAGCAAAAGACCGCTGCGCATCCACCGTGCTCGATAAGTCGCTTGGTCTCCTCGCGTTCAACGGGTCCAGTTCCTTGTGAGTTTTTTCTACAAATGCCATGTCATACAAATCGAGCAGATTCCCCAGCTCTCCCATCCAAACTTTGCTTCACTCGCGGATTCCCATGTATGGATAAAATTTCCTTCCGGTGCGTAGAAACTGACCTACTAGTGTTTTTGTCGGCGATGTCGACGTAATGAAGAGTGAAGTCGCTCTTAGGGCAGTGATAATAGTAGGTTAACCCTAGCAAGTAGATATCTAACGTGATGTATCCCTTCTCGAAGCCGTAATCACAGTCCTTTCTTGCGTAAACGTTGAGAATGATGCCACTGTGTGTTGTCAGTTCCCATGCTATCCGCTATCCATGGCAGCAGTACACAGACCTCTCAAAGTTCCGTTATTGATTACCGGGGAATGTTGGAAGTGTTAAAAATCTGTTCAAAGTATAGAAAAATCGCGTTCACGAAAAGTAATCCTAATGAAGTTTGCCGTTCTGGCGAATATTTTCAACCACCACAGCAGGTGCACATCCATCTTACTAGTTAATTGATATTTGATTTTGATTTGTTAATTCAGATTCTCCTACGGTCCGTTCTACGGCCGATTTCGTCGCTTCCGAACTCATCCAATTTCTTGATAGGCATGAACACTATAAACTCTCTGGCACCGGATGTTGTCCAACATATAGAAGAGTCGATTGTATCTCAAAAGGTATGCGCTCATTTATGAGTCCTTGCAAATGTTTTTTTTTTTTTGCGGCGAACTCTTCAACATGTGAGAGTTTTAATTTTTTCCATACTTCGCCCGTTCCATTACAATTTTTCCCTTTTACCAGTAACATTATTATTGCAGGGACAATTGTTGAATATTGCTGTGCACGCTCTGTTAAAACAAGGACGGTGGAAAACGGTTGCTCTATCTGAATGGGGGAAAACGTTTGCAGCTGACTGTATTGCTGAGGTAGTTCTCGTGAGGTTGTCGTTTGATTTTACTATATCGTATGTACAGCTGAGTTGGACAATGACGCGCCAGCCTTTCTACAGCTCCGATCTTCAACGCACGACAGAGCGCGCTTGGGTTTTTTGGCAGCATGGGACATGGGACGTTGGCGGGCACGACGATTTTGACACGCATGCTCGTTAAGTTGTCCTATGAGGTGTATTTCTCGAAAGCCAAAACTCAGTGGCCAGTTCAAGTGTAATATGCTAGTTAGAGAAAAGAGTGGTCCGACGTGACCGGCGTGGTCTGCTCGTATTCTTCCTCAGCGAAGTGAAAACATCACCGATGCAAAAGTAAAGCGAAAGTAAGAAATCGCTATCTGAAGAAGTGTATCCGTTTGAAGGAGGGTTCAGAGCGGGGAGCATGGTAGGGAGGTAAGACAAATTCTTCTACCTGGTTGAAACTCCCACAAGGAACAGGAAAGGTATCCCAAAGGAGATCAAAAAAGTGAAGTGGGAGGGGTTTTTTTCCACTTGATCAAATATACAGCTGCTGTCAACGCTTAGAAGTCGTACAAAGATGTAATGAAGAATATCAGGCCAAGTGACTTCAAACTAGAATTGGTTGAATCGATGCTGTAGGTTGATTATGGCTACACTTCAATTCATCTGTTTCGTTCCATGCGACTTGATTTGTTTAATATTGATTAGAGATTCGTGCAGATTAGGCATTCTGAATTGATTGGTTTGTAATGTTTTTAACAAGAATCTATTCCAGCATGCTGATGTAGACGAGATCCAAATCGAACCGATGTTCTTTGCATGTGTTGGACAGTTGGAAGTGATGGGAATCGTAAGAGGGAGCAGTGACCATGAAACTCCTTCCGTTACTATCGCTCACCATGTTCTCACTTCAGTAGTTTGATAGGAAGGCGGTGAGGCCTACTACCCTTGTTCTGCGATGCAGTGTAAGAAGTTCCGAAGAGTGAGGGCACTGCAAAATTCAGACGTTGTTATGAACATTTGTGCCTACTGACTTTTGAATGTGCCCTTGAGGAATGTTTGTCTTGACTGTTGCTGATCGACTATTTTCTGAGATTTTTATATCATTTTTAGAGATGTGTAATACCTCTTTTCAAATGAATAAGCATGGCTCACAGTGACAAAATAAATATCTGTTCACCCATGATGTAGGCGATAGGATCATATAAACGTTCATCGAGACAGTTGACTACTGTCCTACCAGGTATTTTGATAAGTGTGTCTGCAGGTTTGTCGGTGTGTTTGTCTATTTGACCGGCCGGAAATTCATAATTCTTGTCCCATGAGAGATCGAGATCGTTCATTTCCGAAAGGGATACATGCGGCAGGATGGGACCACGGGGACAGGATGTGATAACATATAGGGTAGTAGAAATCAAGGCCGTGTGATGAGGGTGGAGATAAATTTGTTACTCAATGCATATTAACAATGAGGGAAGCTTGACGTGTTGATGAAAGGTGCGGTATATATCGGGTTGGTTGGTGAGAGAAACCGATAATTCAGGGCGCACAGTAGGCGTAGACTTGAGGGACCACACATCATTTCCTGTTTTTGCATTGGTAGTAGTTCCTGGCTACTTTGTTGAAATACAGATGGGACGGGATCGACGATATAGAAAGTGATACCCTAACTAACGACTAATAGCTGGTAGAAGCTGATAAGTTACCTTGGAAAGTGCTAGCCTATTCGTTTGTGACCCTTTCGCTATTTTCGATGTAGCCTTGACACTAAGTTAAACGGGATAAGGCTGGATGCATCATAAGCTAGAGTGACAAGTAACCTGATGTTAAGGTCTACTTAAGTGGGCCATGTAAGAGGAAAGAAGTTTGGTTTGGTTCTTGCGGCAATATCACGACGACTCTCAGTTTGCAGCTCAGTAATCCCTATCAATAAAGTTATGGATAATTCCTCTGAAAGTCATGTTATCATCAGTCATGTTCATGTTGGGGACATTTTCCTTCAAAAATTTTTGCAGTGAGAAATGAGTATTTCGTTTGCTAATTTCGGGCACTGTCTATTTGAAAATAAATCTCTTTCCCGAAAGAGTTTGATGGTCA